CATCAGTTGGAAATTTACGAAAGTATGTTATGAATCTCAAGCCAATCAACAAAAGATAATTTATTACTAGTAAAGACTATAGTCTGTTATTGAAATTTCAATAATTTTGGGTCTATACTTGTCATGAGTGTTCTTATAAGGTCCCTAATTGTCGTTTTTCCTAATATTTTATTTATATAAACATGAATTAAGAGGTTTTGGAGAAATTTGAGAAATGAATCTTTATTCAAGGGTTATTGATAATGTATATCATTATAAAATATATTAGATAAAGATTGATGAATGAGTCGCATTGTGCATAACTACATGATTTAACTATGATGCAATTTATTATAAGAATAATGACAACAACATACCTTTAAAATATACAAATTACAATAAGTACCACAAAATACAAATGTTTTAAAAGTCAGACTAGATGATGAATCAAAAATATTAGTAGGTCATGATTCTCATAATTTAAATGATTAAATCGGTGGTCAAATCGGTGATATAATAATTATATTAAAAAATTTACATACATACATACATACATACATATATACATTAAAAAATGGGTCAAAACGGTTCAATCATTCTTGTCTCAATTTTTTCTTTAGGTCTCAAGAATTGCTCAAGTCAAAGTGGACCAACCCAAGTCAACTACTAGAACGGGCAAAATGGTTGAGCCAAACTGCTTGCTTCTTAGGGTGATGGTTTGACCTTCCAGATTAGTCCATGTAACATTTAAAAATTTTAATTTTAAGGTTAAATTAATTAGTTAGGAGGCCTAATTAGTTAATTAAGATAATTAAAAGTTAATTATAAAGTTGAGACTATTGTAAATTAATTAAAGTTAATTATAGAAGTTAATTAGAAGATAATTAGGCCTTTTGGGCTTAACAGACCTTATAGGAGGTATAGAAAGGGGCTAGAGAAACTCTTAGGCCATTTTAGACCTAAATTTTAGGGTTAAGTGATGCTACTCGTTTTGGTCTATTCGCCATAGTAGATGGAACAGTTGGTTATGGTGAACATGATGAAATTTTAAATCCCAATTTTATAGCTTGGTTTGGCAAAAAAGGGGAGAGTTTAAGTGAGATCTAAGAGGGAGGCGATCAACCTATGTTAGGTTTAGATCATGGAGGTTTTTAGAGGCTGTTTGGGATTTTTAAAACCCTCAGGTAGGCCTCCTATCTCAATCTTCTCTCTTTTTCTTGATGTTTTTGTACTTCATGTATTTATAGCTTGAGTCTGAATTACGGTGAGGTCCCAGCCATTCTTAAGACTCTAATGGAGTCTATGGGTGTTAATAAATGTTTTTAATCTTGGGTTTTAGTTGTTAAAGGCACTAAATGCCACTAATGAGAAGTTTGAGATTAACTCTAATGCTAAATAAGCTTGTTTAAGCTACTAAGAGTAGCTACTAGAATTTATTAATTTTAATAGAAGTTAAATAAATTAATATAAATGAGTTCTGAGGTCGATTATTATTAAACATGCTTAATGAAGGCATTAAACCTTAATCATAATTAAAAGTTAATTAATGACAATTAATCATTAACATTGTTTCTAGCCATTTGTTTGTTGAGCATAGTTTCTTAGAGCTCATAGTTTCCAAGAATCTCGGTGAAAAAAAAATTTTAATTTTAGTACATTATTGTGTATACAATGATGAAATTGTGCACTGTTATTGATGTATTGAAATGAACAAATTAAGTTTATTGTTGAATCTATTGACGTTGAACTAGTACATGAGTTATGAAGCATGCCTCATTGTGATGAAATAACTAGTGATAATTTATTAGGTGGTTATGAGTTGTTGGGCCTAAATTGACCATTCTTAGTTGTTTGGATTATATTGCAGAACAATTTATAATAAGAATACAAGTTCAATGATTTATAAAAATACTAATTAATGAGATATGTATAAGTATGCATTTATATATGTTGAATGAACTTGCATGGGCATAGTAGATGAAAACCTTAAAGTAGTAGAGGGCTATATTGGTTAATCCACGTGGTGTGGCCTCCACTAAGTTTGTTCATAATACTTGGCATAATTAACTATTAAATGTATTTAGTAACCTATGGGTGTGATATGGAGTCGTGCACGATACTTAGTATCACTAGTTCTTGAAGAGGACAATGTGGGTTGGGAACTTATGAAATCTTGAAATTCAAGTAGGGAGAATCTATAGTTTGAGAGTGAGTGAGGAAGCCTTTGGTTGGATAACCCTTTACAATTGAGCTTGTCCAATTACATAGGTTAGAATTATATGAGATAATAGCTTATGAATTCAGTCAAATAATATAAGGAGTAGTACAAGGTGTTGCATTGATCATGATAGTAAAATTATATGTTGTAATTGTGATTTATGCATTGGTTTGCCTTATATGACATTATCTACTTAGTTGTTAAGAATGCCACACTTTAATATGCTTTAATTAAATTATTTGGCTACTGAGATTGTTTAACCTCACTCCCATTTATTAATAATTTTTGGGGGATGATAAGGAGAAGAACAAAGGGGAAGCCTTTAAGGCTAAGCATTAGAGGATTGTATTGTAACTAGCTCTAGTTGCCTTTTTGCTGTAATGAAGCATATATTTGTGAACATTAGGTTTTGATATGTTTGGATTGTAGTTATTTGCATGTAGCCATATTGTTTAAATGGGAATTTTTTATTGGTTTCCTTTAGTTTTTGGGAGAAGCCTAGCCATGAAATTGTGTGTATGTTGAGAAGGAATGTTTAAATCTAAATAGTTTGAGTTTTACATGATTATATATATAATTAATGCATGTTAGAGTTTTATGTGATTGGTGAATGGCTTTATGGAGGGGAGACAATTAGTGGGGTACTTTTAGAACAAAGGCTTGTGTGGTATTAAGTGTTTCAAGATCCTCATTTATCATCAATCAAGGTAAGACCAAAGCCATTAGATAGTTTGGAGAACTAGCTATATTTGGGCTCTTTGATCACCTTAATCGATGTTCCAAGCAGCTAATTAGGCACATTAGAAGTTAGGAAGAATAATGCTACCTAAATTTATTTTGATATGAGGCTTTCATCATGGTAGATGTGTGTTTAACTGTGATGGAAAGAGCCATTAGCCACGGTTAAGTAATCTCTATATCATATGCCACGATAGACATATATTGAGCCATGTCAAATGTTGGAATTCATGGTTGATGGATGTGTTGTGCAAGGCTAGCTGTAGTAGATGGCCTCTTAGCTATAGTGGACAACTGCAATTCACATTAATGTTAGTTTTGACCTTGTTTGACCTATTTCTCAATGCTAAATTTATTTTGTCATGTTTATGCAAACTCTTGTACTATGATTTTAAATGTTTTCAAAAGGCAATTACTTTATTAATTATTTTACAATGTTTTTGGTATCCATGATTTTTTAAATACTTTTAATGGTATTACTTATTTAATAACAGCTATGGTTGATCTTTGTTACAAGGGTTAGTTAGTTTTAGTTTAAGTTGGATTAATGATGAAAGTTATTACATTCGAGTTTGAAAATAGTGCAAAATACAATAATTATTATTTAGTTCCTAAAGACTTGTTTGTCATTTCGATTTTTGACAAAAGTGAAATATTTGCTCTTAGTGACTATTATATGTTGGGAAATTACCATTTTAATTGGGCCATTAAGTTAAACAGAATATAAAATGATTACTTTCTTTATGCAAATTTGTTTATCAATTAAGTGCAAGTACTAAAACTCAATGATTATTATATGTTAGGAAACATTACTTTAGTTGAATTATTGACTAAAATAAAATAGAAAATAATTACTTCCTCTTGGCAAATTCTTGTTTTATAAATGAATTAGAAAAGGACTATTTTCTTTTTGAAAATAACTGCTTTAATTGCACTTGATTGATAAATAAATTTACAGAAAGAAAATAGTAGTCACTGAGAGCAATATGTCATTTAATAAAAAATGACCCAACCAAAGTGGTAATTTCTCAATATATAATAGTCACTGAAAGCAGTATGTCATTTTGTAAAAAAAATCAAAATGTTAGATAAGTTTTTACAGACTACATAATAATTATTACTTTTTGTGGTCCTTAATTTTCATTTACATATTTTAGGTGCATTTTTTTTTCATTTTTTCTTTATTATATATTCTACGTTGATATTTTTTTAATATATCAATATCAATATATTACATACAATTTGTAGGAAGTTTGATAATTTACAAGCCAAAAGTAATATAATTCATCTAGGACTTTCTACAAAATTTTAAACGAGTGAAATACATATCTCATTTAATAGTCCATTTTTTTCGCTGCTTACAATTATTTTTTTAGTGAAATACATATCTCATTTAATAGCCCATTTCTTTGTTACTTACAATTATTTTTTAATTGAAGGTAATCATGTTTAGGACATGATTAGACACTAAATATAAATATTTTTTTTTTTGATCATGTCATGAGAGATTAACCTTTTCACTATATTCAATTCTCACTAATTATTTTCTCCCATTTCATTCTTTGATCAATTTTAGGAAATGTTTCTTAGTTACATCAGATTAATTGAATTTTCATAAAAAAAACTAAATTACTCACATTCCATTTGTTTGGGCATTTTCAAATATTAACGTAGTAATTAAATCTCTTATTTATTATCTATTGAGTTTTTGCCAGAATTTATTTTCTATTGATGATTAATCATCACACAAATAAATAGAGTTATATAAATCACATTTATTATCCACACACATATTTTTATATAAATAATATATTCTTATCTAAATTATTTTTTATTTAAAATGTAATTTTTTTTTGCTATTTTAAAATGCTTAATAATTGATTTATCGTCTGGCCAAAAAAACTGTTTAAAAACTTTCTCATTTTGCTCATTGTCGAGTTCAAAACCTTTATTTAAAGAGAATCTAGCTCTTCCCCTTGGATTGAAGCAGGCTGGTACAAGAACATATTCAGTTATTCACTAACTAACACGAATCAACTGCATCATCCTGTTCATCGAGTTATCTACTTTGGAAAAAGGTCAAACTCAATTCACAAATATGACTTGACAACTACAACACATTGATGATTGATTATTGAAGATACTATCTCTCTCAACAATTGAAAATTCTATGATTCCTCCCTTCCATAAGTTGATTTCCACATCGAATTCCACTTCCCTCTCTCTCTCTACCAAACTCCACGCGCCGTCCTCTCCTCCTCCTCCTCCTCCACCACCACCACCACCACCACTGTCACTTCTCTCTTCTTCTCTCTCTGTTTCTCCTCCTCCTCCTCTTCTTTGTATCTCCACAGTTTCTTACCTTGAAGACGAAGAGGACAACAAGGATTGAGCAATTCTCTGTCTATGTGTCTCTAGAAGAAGATATGGGCGGAGTTACTTCATCAATTGCCGCCAAATTCGCCTTCTTTCCGCCGAACCCTCCTTCGTATACTGTGATCGCTGACCAGGATATTGACGGTCGATTATCTATTCCGGAGGTTCCGAAGAAGGATAACGTTGACGTGCTTAAGCTTCGGACTCGTCGAGGCAACGAAATCGTGGCTGTTTATGTCAAGCATCGCAAGCCGACTGGTACCATGCTTTACTCGCATGGGAATGCCGCTGATTTGGGTCAGATGTTCGAGCTCTTTGTTGAATTGAGCAACAGGCTTCGTCTCAATGTTATGGGGTACTTTTCTTTGCTGTCGAGATTTGAGCTCGCTTTGTCTGTCTCAATATCTAATTACCTTTTAGCTTTTACTCTAGATTAGAAGAACTAAGATAATATTTCTTGGGTGATGCATGGATAGATGCTCCTAAATATATGAATCATCTTGATTGCTTCATTTTGAAATTTCACTTTTTAATGATGTCTTGAATATCGTACTGTGCTAGAATGGCCTTGGGGAGGAGTTCGTCCTATAAGTAAGCTTGGATTTATCGGTTCCCCCTATGATCGTGCAAGTATTGTGTGGTTTAAGTTCGAAATAACGTGTTTGATTGCTCTGCTAATGAAAGAAGTAGCATGAAGGTTTCTAGGATCTTCAGATAAATGATAGTCACAATACTATAACTGGGGCAATAACGTTAAAGATTGAAGTATTTACTGTCTCCATGTTGCTGCTACAGTAATAGCACATTTAATTACCGAAGTTATAAGCTCTGTGAAAGTCAAGGATTACCTTGTACACTTGAACCTGGGTCTGACATTGGAAGTTCGGTTGCCTTCTTATTAGCAGATCACAGCCTCATACTTGCTAGGAGCATTGGGCTGCTTCTGCTTACATAGTGTACCTGTTGGTGGATCAATTTGGTTTCCCTTCTCATGATGTTTGTGCTGTTGGGTTAAATGAATATGCAAGGAAGAAGTCCAGCTAGTGCTTTTTTGATCCGCTTATAGTTTGCTATGTTCTTATTTAGTGCATTTTTGTTATTAAGGATGGTAGTAGATGGGCTTATAGGTGCTAACATTACATGAAATTAGTTAGTTGAAATTCCTAAATCATTATATGATTTGGAAGGCTGAGGTTGTTCATTAATTGTTAAGTGTACATGTCATTATATTTCTCTTGTTCCACTAAATCTGAAAACAAAGAAATAAATCAATTTGTAAACCAGACAGGGGACAAATTACTTTGGAATTTGGACTATGGTTACTAGAGGAGAGATGAAGTTGACACAAATGTTGTTAGACCATTTAAGTGGCGTACTATTTTAGCAGTAGTACGCCACTTAAATAACTTTGAGTCCGATTAAGAGAGGTAGAGGAAGGCCTAAGAGAACGCTCTTGAAAGTTATTGAACGCGATCTCTTAATTAATAATATTCCTAAAAGCTTGATAAATGATAGAACACAATGGCGTCTTGCAATCCCGACCCCACCTAGTGAGATAAAGGCTTGTTGTTGTTGTTGTTGTTGTTGTTGTACTATTTTAGCAGTAGTATGGATAGTGTGTGTGTGTGTTTTCATGTTTTAATAGAACATTCTTGATTATCCATTTCTATTCTCATCTTGGGATTTAATGTTTTAGCCCCATAAACAGATAGGTTAGATGTAAGCAATTATTTTCAATGGCATCCAATTGAGAAAATGCTTTTATATGGCTGAACTAATCTGCTGAATGACACCTTCTTTGGGACAAATTTGATGTGTTAAAGCAAAATTTTCCTGTCACAGGCAAGTTTTTCACATTGAAATGGTTAGTAATGCCTTTGAAAGCCTGGTTAGATTTGAACGGATAACAGATTGATATACAATGTATCATTAGGGACAAGTTTGTGGTATGTATGTTTCAACTGGACCTTTTTTGTCTAACTGCTGAGCATAAGGAATTCCCTTTCTTGCCAGAGAAGCAACCATCCAAATTTGGTACTCGAAAAAGTAAAAAGCATCACTTGAGGAGACGTTTAAATTCAACTGCACATTTTCTTGATGAGATAAATTCACTGGCCTATCTTGCATGTTAACAAAGACAGTGGTTATGCTTTAAGACATGACTGTGAACAGATGAATCCACATTGATCTGCAGTTTTGAATGACTTATTTTAGGGGGAAAAAACAATAAAAGTTTAAGCTCAATTTTTATGTTAAAAATGCATCATCTGTGACAATTTATTATTGCATGCAGTGTGCATAATGATAGTTACCTCTATGGTCCTCTACATTAAATCATTCAACTATGCTAATATATTAAACTACAAAAAATGATAGGAAAGTAGGATGGGTTGATACTATCTGTCACGAGTGGTCAACAACTTCACATGCGGTCATAATTAAGAAGGAATTCTAGGTGCTTTAAATACTGTAGACACTAAGCTTTCAGAGATTTTGTCTATTAACAATGTATTAGATGATATTAAATCATTCAACTATGCTTAAACTTAAATATCAAACTCCAGAAAATGATGTGTTACTACTGTCTCTTACAAATGATCAGGCAACTTCACATGCGGTCATGATCAAGAAGCAATTCTATGTGTGCCACCTGCCCAAAGCCCCCTCCCTTTTGCTCCTGCATTTATCCAAATAGAGCCTAAAGGCATGAAGCTTGAGTATACTGGCATTAATTCATAATGTTTTGTAAATTTGTGTCAGTGTATACCCTTATCTATGATATCAGTTATAGAGAGCAACCATAGATTACTCATTCTGCATCTCTTTTACGTTATTTTATTTGGATTTTGAGTGCCTAGTTTAATGCTCCAAAAAAAAAATGTATATGTCTACAATTTCTTTATATTATTTTATGATATTGGGAGTAAATTAGACTAAACTCCTAAAGTTTCGGATAGATTACTCAGGATACCCTTTTTGTTTTAGAAATTGCAATAAGCTTCTTTCCAAATCATGTTGTGTCAATGAAGTTAACTTTCTGTAGAATATATATATATATAGAGAGAGAGGGGGGGAGAGACTTGAATGTTTTCAGTGTCATTTTGAGAATAAAATCACAGTTCCAACTTCCATGTTAAAGCTTAACATCAATTTAACTGTATTTACTATTATATTAAAAAGTAAAATGGCACTCTCATTGTCCTATAAGTAAACATTTTTTAACAGAAACTACATTGGAGGGGAGGTTTCTACAATATATAAAGATGTTAGGGGAGCCAAATGTAAATTGTCTAACAATAGGGGTATAAAGTGTAATAATTTGGTCAAACTTCAGAGGAGGTTAGTGTAATTTACTTGGTTGGAAAAGAAGTGCTCATAGGGAATCCTTGTTCTTCAAATGCAAAATCCATTTGGGGATGCTCTTGTTACTCACAAATATCATATTTTAAATTTATCATATATTTGGAAGCACCATCTAATCACCAGTACTGTTTTTTCCTGCCTTCAGATTATTTGTAACTAACTCTTCATATTGCTATTGTCTGCAGTTATGATTACTCTGGCTATGGACAGTCGACAGGAAAGGTAGCTTGCTCAACTTTACACCTTTAAAATATAAGACATTAATTCTTTAGACAGAATTATTATCTGCGTTCTTTATGTCTATTAAATTTACTTTTAAAAAAAAAAAATCTTTCAACATATTCTCCCATAATTTGATTTATAACAACAGTTTTCTATTCATTCTTTGTTGCTTATATTATTCTTTTTTTCATTTTCTTCCACATTGTGTCTTCCCTTGATTGGTAAATTGATATAGAAAGAAAAGATGTTATCAATTTATTAGTTAGGATTCTTACTCATAACTTCGGATTCCAGTAATTGTGGATTTGATTAGATTAGTTTTCATATTAAATAAGGTTTCCTATCCCTAGTCGGGCTATTCCAGTTATAAGTTTGTAACTCTTATACCACATAAAAGAATATCATTTCAGGTTGCTATATTTAGAGATTATATACTAGAATTTCAATCTTTTATGAGTAATTGTTTTTGGTGATTATATGCATGGTTGATTCTCTTGTCTCTTACTTCCACACCCTGTATTTCTATCTTCATAATGTGCCTTCACTATATCACGGCCCAGTCTGCAGAAGGCTTAACTTAGCTGCCAAAAGTATGTTGCCCCTCCTTGAGATTCCCTATTTTATGATCGCCTTCTCATCGATATTTTGTTGATCTCTGTCATTTTGATATTTTCACAATGGTTACATCATCATCATCATGCCATTTTTTATTTTTACAGAAATGCACAAACCGACAAATTGGACTTGGAACTGTTTTAAAACCTTGAAAGTACTTCTAGGGCCAACTGGCCAAGGAAAGCCTGTTGAAATAAGTAGTCATCTAGAGAAAAACATCACCGTAGAACTTGTACCTTATGACCTTCTTCAGATTGATTCCTTACTCTTGATTTCTAGCAGTTGACACAACCATCCTGTTCCTGTGTTTGGTCAAGAAAGTTAGTACACAAAAATTCTTTTGCAAAATACGTTGTTCTTTATGAGGGGTTATTCTAGTCAAGGAAGTAGGAGATCCTCATCATTGTAGTATTTCTGTCTATTTGGGATGTTTTCTATTGCATCAATGCAGTCAGAAACCAAACAAGTGTTGCTGACATTTACTGTCATGCTTCTGTCTTGAAATGAATTGGGACAAAATGCATAAAAATTTAGTTTAATCCACTTTATCACGAGCCTTCGTAATTCTGAGGGTGCATCTCATTTAAGGATACTATCTCAGTAATCGTGAAAACTTTTATGACATCTCGAGTGTCCAAGTTCCTTTAATGGAAGCAATTTTCTTGCCACCATTTACATTTCTTTGGATTTATAATTGACTCTTCTAATGGGAAAACAATTTATGGAATCTGCATGATTCCTCTCCGGTTCTCCCCATTTGTTGCTTTACCATTTCTTCATTAAAGGAATATTATATTGTCTGACTATCATATTGTCTGTTGATTTTGTGACGACAACAAGAAGCAAGTTTTACATTCTTGCCTGCAAGTTAACATCTATCTTTTGTCTGTTGAAACAGCCAACTGAATATAATACATACGCAGATATTGATGCTGCTTATAAATGCTTAAAAGAGCAATATGGTGTGAAAGATGAACAATTGATATTGTATGGTCAATCTGTTGGGAGTGGACCCACAGTTGATCTTGCTTCACGTATGCCAGGGCTGAGAGGTGTGGTCTTGCACAGTCCAATTTTGTCTGGGCTGAGAGTACTGTATCCTGTAAAACGAACATACTGGTTTGATATTTACAAGGTTGACTTTTCTTACCAAATACTCCTATGTTCCAATCTGTTTTATTCCACAGATGGAGGCTTATGCAATATTTTTTTTAATTCAGAATATTGACAAAATTGGCATGGTGAACTGTCCAGTTTTGGTTATACACGTAAGTGGTCCTCTGTCTTACTTGTAACAAATAATATTTTTGGTGTTTCTTTTAGATTTAACAATTTTAGATAAACAATTATTCAAGTGATCCACCAAGCTTTGATTGCTAATGCATCTGGTTTCCTTTCAGTTATCAACTAATTTAACCACTAGATTCAATGCCTTGTTTATGTTTAAAGGAAGTTTTAACCAGAGAGCAGAACATACTTAGTTATCTATTAGGTTAGGATGCTATCCTTGATTTGTTCTTCCAATACCATTTTGACTTCTTTCCCCATACTCTCTTTTCTACGTTTCTCGTCCAGATTCTTTTTCTCTTTAGGCCTTGTTGTAAACTACTGAAGATGACAATCTTTTCTTTTTATGGTCAGGGAACAGCAGATGAAGTTGTAGATTGTTCCCATGGGAAGCAGCTTTGGGAGCTTTGCAAGGAAAAATATGAACCCTTATGGGTAAGTGGTGGGGGACATTGTAATCTAGAGCTTTACCCAGAATTCATTAAACATCTAAAGAAATTTGTACAGACAATTAGCAATTCTAAAGCAACCGCAAATGGTTCCCGGAAGGATACAGCAGAAAAAACTGAGAACCAAAGCAATGCTGCCAAAGAATCTGAAAGTGGAGCTTCAGATACAATTGATTTGGTTGCTGATTTGCCAGAAGCTTCTAGAAACAGTTTAGATAGCCGTCTTGAGAAGTCTAAAAAATCAAACAAACCAGAAAAATCTCGAATGAGCACTGACCATGTTGATAGGTTTAGGAGGAAAAAAGGCATAATTTGGTAGTTTCTTATACACAAACCATATCCAGAATAAATTATCTACAAGCAATACTAGGCAGGTATTCTAATCCCTCCCCTCCAAGGAATCATACCAATTCTAAATGAATATATTGAGTGAGATTTCGGTGTTCTTTTCTGCTTTAGGTTCGTAATCCTGCTGTCTGTATGTTACAATGATTGAGAGTAATGTGTATCTGTACGTTTTGTAATACCAACAGCTCGATCTAAATGCAATTACTAAGCTCATCAATTTGTTCTGTAAAAATTGTGTCAGGTATCTTTTCAAGAGAGCTTACTAAATTATACTGCTGGGGGGATATAATTATCTTCTAGTCAATGCAACTTTCTACCGTGTTGATGAAATCCTTATTCAATTGATCTTTACTTTCCTACCTAGTGTGCTCCTAAAAATGAGGAATATTATAAAAGAATACCAGTTTAATTATATTTTCCTACCTAGTGAGCTCCGAAAAGTGAGCAATATTATAAAAGGAATTAACAGTGTAAGTTAGCATTGGATTTTGGGTTTCTGTTTTGAGTTTTATACTGGGGAGCTTCACAAGAAAAATATATTTTGTAAGTTTTAGAGGTTCTCTCTCTTTAACAAGAACAGGCTAATTTTTTGAGATAGATTCTTTATTTGAACTTGTACTTACAAAAAATTAGTTTTTTGGGGATGAATTCTTTTTTTGAGCTTATCCTCATAACAGTTTCATACTATTTATGGTTTTTGAGCAATTGAAATGACTATTGATCTTGCAAAAGCTCCTGGACAGTACAGATGGCGGCACTGGTCATGTTGATGATAGGTATAGGAAGGGAAAAATGCTTAATTTGATGGTCTCTTGTACAAGGCACGTCCAGAATAAATTATCTACAAGTTATATTTGGGAGGTATTCTGATGCCACTTTCCCTCTAGTAATCAAACCAATTCCAAATGAATATATTGAGTGACATTTTGGTTCTCTCCTCCATGAGTTTCGTGGTCTTGCTGCATGCATGTAGTGTTTTTTCCCCCTTCTTCCTCCATTTAAATTATTACTCAGTTTTTTTTTTGGCATATTCTAATTACCTTGGCATTTTCATGCTGCTACTCTGTCTTGGACAATCACTAGACGGAATCAAGACTCTAAATTTGCAGTTGGTGATGTGATGTTGGCGTCAAAGTCATAATTTAGCGCGTTGTTTGCTGGCATTCCATCTGATCAATTTTTTCTCCTTGCAGGCCCCCTTTTATACTGCCTTTTCAACACGATTGAAGGCAGAGTCATCGTTTTATTTATGCACATCCTTGGTTTTAATTTACTTGTTGACCACTTCAGGACTTCCGTCAAAGTCACTGAACCATTAGCCACGTCTAGTTTCCTGATTCATACTTAATCACACAAAAATGAAAATTATACTCTACCTGTCCTTGTTTCCAATATTTTTATGCATCTTAAAAAACAAAATTTATGATTATATTTTTAAATTTATCACAAAACATCCAAGTATACTTATCTTAAGGTTAGTTTTTTTGAAAGGAGTTATGATTATCGAAACACAAAATTTCGAGTTTGAACATTTGCAAATATAGAAAATATTTTTAGAAGAGTTACTTTTAATTATGCACAGCAATACACAAATTTGGCCAAATTAAATAGCCATATAAAAAAGATTGTAACATCTACTCTTTTCCACTATTTATAGTAAGACTTGTTAACAAGATCAAAAATAAAAATATCTAACAATAGGAGAATATTACACTATCGAGAGAATATCAATTAGGGCCTCAACAAAGACAATAATCACATGTCAGGTCCAAATGATTTTGAAACTTCTGTATAGACTATAGACCCAAGGTCTTTCATTGGAGATGGTGGGGAGTTTTTTATTTTTTTTATTTTTTAGAAAAAATAGCATTCGAGGACCACTGTATAAAATTTATACCACCAAAGGACCAAATGATTTTATATTTGCTCTATAGTCCTCTGGTCTTTCTTACATATTAATTTCATAAGTGAAAAGATTAAAATACCCTTTAATTTAAAATAATAACTAAAACCCATGCTGGAACCCTCATGAAGCTCACTCTACCCCATACGTTGAACAAGTTGCCCTCATCATTGCCCTCATGATACCCCCACCATGGTAATTGTTAGAAGCAGCTTCTTCTCCAACTTCCCATGATGAAATCGCTTTTCTTATTTATGTATGACATTATAAGGGTCATTCTTTGACAGCATTATTGGTGGTTGAAGATTTGGCTGTCAGTCATTGTGAACCATTAAAGGTGGTTGTGCTCAGCATTGTTGGAGGTGAAGAAGGGTCATGGGTAAATGGTAAGATGGATTTCATTTTTTTTAGAGGTATTCATTGTCCTATACCTCCACCTTAGTTAAAACAATCTAGTTAAGTGATTTGTTGGTGTTATTTCAATCTGCGTGCTGAGTTATGTCATTTATGTATTTGTTGACTGTTGCTTTATATGCATGATAACAATTTCCATTGGTAAATTAACAAGCTCCCTTATTGTATTGACAAGATGAGGGTAGAAAAATGAAAACTTAGACTCGAACAAATCCTTTTAGAACATTCATAATTAACCATGTTGAAATAACAAGAGCCTTGAGTGTTTGACAAGCGTATAATTGAATAACAACTTACAATCATTAATTAACAAGTCCCTCTATTATATTGACAACTGGCCATGGCAAAATAACAAGAGTCTTTAGTGTTTTGATAAGTGTATCACTGAGTAATGATTTCAATTCGTGAATTAACAAGATTCGTTATATTATTGACAAGTTAAGGGTAGTATATAATGATAAATGTTCTAACAAATCCCTTTAATGTTTTGACGACTTCCATTCATGGACTAACAAGATCTCTTATGTTATTGATAAGAGTAGGGTAGTATATGATGATAAATATTTTGACAAGTCCCTTTACTATATTGACAAGTAATCATAGGGAAATAACAAGAGTCATTTATGTTTTGCAAGTTTATGATTGAGTAACAACTTCAATTTATGAATTAACAAAATCCCTTATGTTATTGACAAGAGTAGGGTAGTATATAATGATAAATGTTGTGACAAGTCCCTTTAGTGTTTTGACAATTTCAATTGGTGAATTAATAAGATTCCTTAGATTATTGATAAGAGTAGGGTAGTATATAATGATAAATTTTCTAACAAGTCCCTTTACTACATTGACAAGTAATCATGGAAAAATAACAAAAGTCTTTTATGTTTTTAAGTGACAAATATTTGACTTAGAGTTTATGGTTAGTAATAATTCATTGGTATACAACTGTAACTATTCTGGAGTAGTTTACTATATTTGTTGACAATATACTATTTTTATAGGAGACCATGATAAGGAGTCCAAAAGCTAGGACTCTGGCTAGCCACTTGAATAAAATAAATTCAGACAATATTGGCTATAACCAGTGTTTTTAAAACTGGACCGGACCGGATGGTCGGACTTGTTCGACCGTCGATCAGTTTGGTTTCTGGTCTGGTTCAGAGGAAAAAGGCGTTTTAGGGGTTGAGCTGTTTTGAACTGGTGATCGGATTGGGAATCGAAATCAAGCCAAGAATTGGATTTGGTTTTCAAAAACTGAATTATTTAAAAAAACTTTTTTTTATCAAATTTTTTTTAAAAAATGACTAATTTTTTTAATCATTTGATATTATGTTATATTATGTAGCTTGTTAAGTCATGATAAACTTAAAATATTTAATTTTTTTAAGTTAAATAGCAATTTCATATGTATATCTTATATTTAGATTATTATATACATATATAATTTTTTTAATTTAATTATTATATCACCGGTTAGACCATTGGTCCAACCCGATTGAACCATGCAAACCGTGAACCGCTGACTTTTTCAGTTCAATGTTCGGTCCAATTTTGAAAACATTGGCTATAACATAGGAGATTGTAATTATATATTTGCACCAATTATCATAGACAACCATTGGTTTTGCCTTGTGATGGATCTAATAACCCTTCAATTTTATGTCCTAGATTTACTGAAGAAGGGTAAAAAAAAAAAGATCTAAGAACTTGTGGGCAAGAAATGATGGCTATTGCTTGTGTATGTCTCTCTTCATTTGACAATTTTTATAGATCATTTAGTTTGAAGCATTACTTAATGGTAAAACATTTATTTATGTAGAGGATGTACTTTATTGAAATTTTAAGGCATGTTAAGCTTGACCTTGAGGCATCATTTGACCTAGATCTGAATGCAAAAATTATCTATCCTAAAGTTCAAATACAAGATAACACGTGAGTATTGTTTATGTTAAAGAATTTTCACTTGCTTTATTAACTGACCACACTGTCCATGTTTATGTAGAATTGATTATGGGCTTCATGTGATCATATAGTTTAAATTGTGGCAACACAGACCATAAAGACTAGGAACAAGTAACTATGCTTAAATATATCGCTGAAGAATTGGCTGTTATGAGATGTGACCTAGTATGGTGGCTAGTAGACTATCCAAGAAATGAGGTCTCTATAGACATCCTTAAATTGATCTTACATAACACATCCAAAAAAAGGCAATGTTGATTTCATTATATGGTGATATTATGTAAGTGTTTCATTTCGATTGAGAACCTTTTTTAACGATGATGACAAGAAGCTAATTGTTATGGTACTTATAGTTTGACCAATGTAGTTAGCTACCTTTCCATACACTTTTTGTATATTGACAAGTTCTATTAATGCAAATGACATGCAGCTATTATGAGCTAACTTAGCTAGAATTTGCAAGCGTTACGTATATGTTAGCAACAACCCATTCATTTTTTGACAAGAAGATATTGTATATTGACAACAAGAAATTTGCCCCCAAAGGTTCTAACTTGGCTACAATTTGCAATTGTTAACGCATATGTTAATAACAACCCATTCGTTTTTTGACAAGAGGACATTGTATATTGACAACAAAAAATCCGCCCCCAATAATTTTTAACTTGGCTATAATTTGCAAGCATTATGCATATGTTAACAATTTGACAAGAGGATATTGTATATTGACAACAACCCATTACATATATACTGTCAATTACTAAAATATTCAAACAAAATTTGATACTAGTACTTGTCATCGATGCACCAAGTATCCTTATGAAATTTATAGCAAAATATACCACCTCAACTTTGATTATTGATATGCACAAACAAATTATAGAAACCAATTCCAAAAAAATACAGTTATAAGTTGCTTGTGTAATCAAAAGTTGCACTTCCATTTACCAAAAAGATTGTAGTACTATATATGTACTAAAATATAAACATGATGGCCAATTTTATCAAGCCAGATTTGGGTTCTTGCAAGTCCTGTGTGTATAACTACCTTCTCCACACCTTTAACAATGGTGAACTTTCTTATTTTGGAATTGAGATTCTATCGTCTTATTACATGGCCTCCTTAGAGGTCGGCTTGTCAATGGTAGCAGTAAGAAGTTTAAGGATGCCGAATCACTCAGACCACTTGTACCAGGCTTTTTGTCATTCTAAAGGAAGTTATACGCAAACTTGTGGGCGAGGCTATATTTATGCAATACTTGTGCAATACTTTGCAGCATTCATCTCTACCATGGGGGTTGGAATACTCTACACAACTAAACTTCATTCAGCATCAGCTGTTGCCATTTTTTGAGGAGGAGATGGTGAGTTTAAATAGTCCAAATCAATGTCCCACTCACTTTGACATAATGATATTCCTTCAGTATCTCCAAACATATCACCTACATTGCATTCACAATCAATGCCATACAAGTTATGCAAAACACTATATTTCAACCAACTAAAATTTACATAATTCAATTAAACTTAAATACTTACTCTTGAGAATAATCAATTGGTGATGACTGTCTAATGTCATTTTTCCTCCTACCTATATAAACATGACCAGTGTTATCATTAAATTTAATTAGTTGAGCAACTCTAATGTTATCAACAAGATCTATCAATGTGGTTTCTTCAATCTTCAATGTGTACTTCAAGTTCATTGTCTTTATTCTAGGACACACCTCTAATAATATTAATTTTCTAAGTGCATAGTATGTCATCCCCTCTGTAATAATTCTAGTAATTACGTTGCCTCCCTCATATTTCACATTCCTTTTACTTGTCCAGACATAATCTCCACCATGATGGAAAAAACAAAATAACTTCTTCCCTTAAATGCTTGCCACCGATTATGCGAACTTGAAATATTAAATTAATGTAGAAAAACTTACATGATATTAGTCATAGAAAATTGATTGTAATTTTGGTTTAACAATTACAAATAATATATTAACAACAAAGCAATGCTATTCTAACAACACAAAAGTCAACAGGTCAAAACTTCCAAGGCTTCAAGCAAGCATATTCCAAAGAAACAATTCATTATTTAACAACTAAAATTTCTATTTTAACAATATCATGTTACAGCTTTGACAACACAACATAAAACACATTTCAAAATGACTCTCTGTAAAGGACACATGCAACTCACATTTAATGCATCTGATGCATTCTGTTTCAATCAAATTTTTTAGTTGTTATTAAATGCTACACTTTACACGCACATGACACACAACTTTACACACAGACAATGAAGAATGTGGGAGATAGGGGCGGAAAGATAGTTGCATTAATTACCTCGACGTGGGAGATACAATTCAAACATTTGGATGTGCTCAACTCGCTTTGCATATAGTTCCAACATTATGATGCGTTCAATTCACTCTACTAACAACCTCCACATCATATAGCATTCATGCTAGAATATTATCCATGACTAAAAATAATATGCTATGTGAGAACATTTAAGAAGACAATAATGTAAGACAATAATAGATGATTCCAGTTTTTTCATTTAAAATTTGTTCTATTTTGCTTGCAGAGCCGGTTGAGAGAAAAGGAAAATATTCCATAACTTTGACTCTAAGGCTTCTTTTAGCTGGGAAGAAGTTTCTTTCATTCTAAAGGACATTTTAATCTTTTTGCTTATGAAATTAATATCTAAGAAGGATTAGAGGACTGCAGAACAAATATAAAATTATTTGCTCTTTATGTGATATAAATTTTACAAAAGTGGTCCTTGGATGCTATTTTTCCTTTTTTTTTTTAAATTAAGCAAAGGCATTTTAGTAATTGAACCGGAAAATTCAATTTCTGACAAAGGAGTTTGAGTCTACCACGGAAATTCCATTTTTTTTTAATTATATTTACAATTACATAGCTTACTTGAGAAGCTGATTAGTCCGTATTAGAGTCTGCTTTTGGTATTTGTTTGCATAGACCTGATCTTCCCTTGATCCAGCCATCATGTTACCTCTTTTGGTGGCTCTCTTCATCTCTATCAATATTTCCTCCGTTGTTGCCAATCATGTTCGGTTTACAGGCTGCAGAAACAACCCTTTCAGCTGCGGAAACATCCAAAACCTCACATATCCCTTCTGGGGAGACAACCGAGCTTTCTACTGTGGCCTTCCAGATTTCCAGCTCAGATGCGAAGCCAATATCCCAAAGATAACCATAAAGGCCGTCAAATATCGGATTCTTGATTTGGAAGGGGCTTCACAGGTTCTTACAGTCAGGAATGATAACTATAATTATTTTGACAGTCTGTTCAACTAATCATTCTAATTATGAGAACAATACAATTGATTCAACAGTGTTTAGGCACGTAGATGGGCTTGCTCATGTGACCTTCCTCAATTGTTACGATAATCATACTCCATTTTCACCCTCTTCTCTTAATCAAATTTGCTTCGACAGTAGCAATAATACATATAGTGTGTACTATGTTTTGGGACAAGTGTATAACGGGGATTGCGCGAGTGTTATCATGCCGATAAGAGAAGCCCAAACTGAGGCAGTTCTGAAGGGACAATTACATGCAGCCTTAGATAAGGGTTTTGGGTTGAAATGGAAAGCAAATGAAGAGCAGTGTGATAACTGCACTAAATCTGGTGGCAAGTGTGGCTATGACAATCAATTCCTCTGTTTCTGCAAACAGGGACCTCAAAATATTTCATGTCCACAACCACATGAATCTTCAGCTTCAGGTATGTTATCACTTCCTCATGATTGCCCAAGAAGCAAAAATATAAGCAAACTACTATATGTATAGTTTTGATAACCAATGTTTGCTATGTAAAGGTCTCTGCCTCTTAAAGTTGCTTCGAAAACATTATCTCACAAGAGCTATGCTAAGACCTGACAATACCTCAACATGACTTTAATAGCATGAGATATCAACATAATTGATACGGGGGTATATTGATTGGGGGACAAAGCACAAGAATGTGAAATGTAATTTACCATCATTTGAATGAGGTCTCTACTATATCCCATGAGCATGTGCTTGATAGAAAGTTTGACATCTTAAAGTACAAATTGATATTGCTGTCATCTTCATTTTTTAATTAAAAATTTAATGAATTGTTCAATAATCTTGAAGCTTAATATTTGAAAAAAAAAAGACAGAAAAATCTCTCTAAGGATTTTCTAACACTAATGACTCTTGGTGAAATGACTAAAATACCTCCAGTTTAAACTGCTTGTTCTGTTTTAGTCATTGTCAAAAAAAAAAATTATTACTTAAATTAAAGTAGTTATGGATATTTACAATATTTAAATTTTAGTGAATAAAAAATTTGTATGGAAAAAGTTATAATTACTTGTTCCATTTTAATTATCATCAAAAGAAAAGTAATCATTGTTTAAACTATAATAACTGATATTTACTTTTTTGGCGGCTAGGGCAGTTACTTTATTTTTTTTTTAATTTCAAATTGGGGGCATTTTAGTCACTGCACCAAAAATGATTGATGTCAGAAAGATTCCTAAAAACTTTACAAGAAATTATGAAGAATTATGTAAAATCCTGTGAAATGATAATTTAGTCTGTATAGTTTGAAAAAGAGTCTCTCTAATGTTATTGTTAGAACTGTTGAGATCTTCTATTTTCATTTTGAACTATCTTGTTTCTGTAATATAGACTCTTTTTTCTCTTAATGGAAGTTAGTTATTATGCCATTTAACTATTGTTTTAATTACTCTAATAAAAAAGATTCAAGATAGTATCGTTTTAACTGAAAAAAGGGACTAAACTGCACTTAAGTCAACTAGAGGTGACACCGATCAACTTAGAATAAAGGAACTAAATCGTTTGATGAACAAACTAAAGGAACCAAGATGAAATGAAGCATTATTTATTTTGTAAATAGCTTATTGACTTTCAACTGAAGCATTATACCATGTGAGCTTTGGAACTTGAATCTGACAATGACGTGTGTTTACATTTATTCTGCCAGATTGTTGTAAACAAAACATGGTGTTGAGACGAGGGAGTAACAGTTGTCACTGCGTGTATCCCATAAAGCTAGACCTTCTCCGAATGTCCTCCAAAACTCCAATTGGAATCTTTTTCTCGACGAATTAGCTACCCAACTTGGGTTGCAAATTTCCCAGATTGAATTGGTAAATTTTGATGTACTCTCCTTATCAGCATTAAATATATCAATGGATATCACTCCACATGAAGGGACCAGTTCCTCTGCCAATGAAGCATCTAGAATAAACTCTTCGCTTTCAATGCACAAGATTCAACTAGACCCTAGATTGGTGGGTGACTACAAACTTCTCAATTTGACGTGGTATGAGCCTCGGCCTCCATCTCAAGGTAAGTCCAAATCATTATACTTTGGTGTCCTTGACAATTGAAACTTATGTCAAGATGATAATTGTACTGATGGCATTTAGCTAATGCTTGTATTCACTTAGTAATGAAGCTTTTAATTGCATAAGATTATCGTTACTACAGCTTTACTATGTTGCAAAAATCTACAAAATTATGTCATAAATTAGAAGAAAGTCAGAGAGGCTCTTTCCCAAACTACACTAAAGAATTATGTCATTTCACAAGATTTCATTATCATTTGCATATTTTAGGAAGTTTTTTTTTCCTGTTATTTTCCCCTTATATTTTAGTGAAAAATTGCCCAAGATTAGGAGAAATATTTAGATAAATCAAGTGTACTACATCATTTGTGATCTGTACAATAAAAATATGACATTTAGATGGTATTTGATATAAAGTGATTCTAATATTAATGATAATAGAAAAAAAAAAGAAAAAATTAAATGTGCATTCTGTTATAAGAATAAAATAAATTTTAAAAATGTCACACAAGATTTTATTTAAATTATTTAGAGTATTTTAATTGGATAGATATGTGATGCACTCAGTCTATCTAAGTATTTTTTCAAGATTGGATATTTTTCCAAAATAATTCCACATAAATGTTGCCCAATTATATTGGTTTAACGAAAGAAAAACTTTTCTTATAATGATAATAATTTTTTTTTCCAAAGAAAGAATAAATTTACCTTGATATATTATAAAATTTAATTTACTTTATTGATAAAAACACTACTAAAAAATTAATACTAGTAATAAACAAATTCCTTACTAAAAAGTAATACATATCACAAATTTCTAACTTGGTGACATACATTTTCATTATTAAATCTGTCGGAAATTTAACATCACTTGTCACACGACAGATATCGGATATGTGTTTGTTACTAATTTTGTGACAGGGTTACTATCACAAAAAATAAACTTGTCTGCGACTAATTTTTAAATAATGAAAAAACAAAGTTTTGGAATTCTTTTTTTTTCTCGTCTTCTCTAATCATCCAATATGAACCTGTGACCTCCCATGCTCTAAAAATCGTGTGGGTATACATACAAATTTGTCTATTATTAAAATTTTTATATGATTATTGATTATATTTTATATGATATTTTTTATTTGTTAATAATTAGTAATACAATTTAGTGACATAATCATATTTATCACTAATTAAAATTTTGAATATTAAAACAAAATTGTCAAACTTCAAAATTCGTCACTAATATTTTAAAATCAGTGCAGCTTTTAATTGCAGTGTAATGCTGATAGTAATTCTCTGTTCTAAGCTAACTTGCTAATTGCAGAATCAAGAAAGAAGCCGAATCGGCTACTCAAGATTACTATAGGTAATACAAAAAGTAATACTTACTTTTTTATAAAAACATAATTTTAAATTCCTACATTTTGCTCGAATTTTACTATAAATTTTTGCATTTTATTTTTAGTGTTTTAAATCCCTACACTTTTATTTTTTTATATTTTAGGTCCTTATAATATCACTCATAGAGGGACCTTAAACACTGAAAATAAAAGTGTAAGGATCTAAAATATTAAAAATAAAATACAGTGATCTATAGCAAAATTTGAACAAAATGTAAAGACTTAAAATTATATTTTTCCTACTTTTTGTGCCCCTGCGTGTTTATGAATGTTAAACTATATTATGTTCCTTAAATATGTAGGCATTTTAGTAGGAGGAGGTGGAGTTGCTTTAATATCTATTTTGATCATTTACAATCGCAAGAAGCGTTTGATAAGAAATGAAAAATCGGAAAATCTTCAAAGAAAAGGAGCATGTCATGATTACAATGTTCAGTCATTCATGAAGAATTTTGATTCTTTGGCACCAAGACAAGATAGTTATTCAGAAGTGAAAGGAATGACAAAATCATTTTCACACAAATCAGGTGATGGAGGATATGGTATTGTATACAAAGCAAGTCTGCCTAATGGCCATCTAGTGGCAGTTAAAAAAAAAAGGGAATCTATAGGAAGTGGAGAAGAATTTATAAATGAAGTTGCAAGCATTAGCAGAACCTCACATGTCAATATAGTTACTCTCTTAGGATTTTGCTATGAAAGGAATAAGAGAGCACTAATTTTTGAATACATGTCAAATGATTCCTTGGATAACTTTATCTATGAAAGAGGGTCTCCAAATGCTTTTGCACTTTGGAGTGGAAGACATTGTTCCAAATTGCTATAGGCATTGCTCGAGGGCTCAAGTATTTACATCGGGGTTGTAATACAAAAATTTTGCATCTTGATATTGAAGCCCAAAACATTTTTTTTTGGATGAAGATTTTGCCCAAAAATATTTGATTTCGGGTTAGCAAAATATGTCAAAAGAAAGAAAGTATTGTGTCAATTTTGGACACAAGAGGAACAATTGGGTTCATTGCACTTGAAGTATTTAGTAGAGCATTTGGTGGTGTTTCTCATAAAGCTGATGTTTATAGTTATGGCATGTTAGTCCTTGAAATGGTTGGAGGAAGGAAGAATTATGACAGCGGAGGATCAAATGCCTAAGAAATGCATTTTCCTAATTGGATTTACAAGGATCTTGAACATGATAATCATCTAGCTAGTTCTTCCAGTATCATGGAGGAAGAGAATGATGAGGTGATGGTAAGGAAAATGACTTTAGTAAGTCTATGGTGTATCCAAATAAATCCATTTGATAGATCTGCTATGAGTAAAGTGGTAGAAATATTAGAAGGTCGTCTTCAATCATTATCCATTCCGCCAAAACCCTCATGGCAATTTACTGCTAGATCACCGTTACAATTCTCAAGTGGACCTTCCCATGAAATCCTGCAGACTAATTCAATAAGCACTTGATTGATTAATTAATACAATGTATTGGTGAATAATCCATTAACATTTTCAACTGTTGCTTCCTTTCCTGTTTGTTGATAAACATCGAGTCAATTAATTATTCAAAAATTTTTAAGTTGTATTTTCTAAATTTAATTTCCATCCCTTTCATATTTAGCTTTGCATTGTACTTTAGAATATCTCTAAATATAATAATCAAAGTGAAAGACTTCAGAAGTGACTATGTTCGATAGACTTGCCACTTGTAATTAAAGGATTACAATTATTTAGAAAGCATTTAATTGAGATGCATTCCATCTGCTGCTGAAGACAATTCACTTTATTTTCATCTGCATTGGTACATCCATATAAAATTTTTATCTGTATATTTTATATACTATTATAGAGGTAGTAATAAAAATGGAAAACTAGCTAGCACAAATGATAAGCAGTGAAATCAATATCACATCTTAATTTAAAATTTTAAAACTTAAATTTATGAAATCTCTCATTATATATATAAGATTTAAATTCTCTGAAATTGTGGGTGATGAATTTTTATGAAAATTTTCCGTTTAAAAGAGAGAGAAGATTTTATCTTTTATAAAAATAATAATAAAATGAGCAAAAATACTTAAAAAAGGAAAATTTAACATAAATTCACCCATCATAATTTCAGAGAATATATATATATATATATATATATTATTTATCATCCACGATCAATATTTAAAACGAAGGACTTTTCCGCATTTAGTTAAGTCCACGCTCTTACTTACATCAAAACATCAATGAAAGATGATTTGCAAAATCATTACCTCATTCTCTCATATCATTAGTTTGAGAGGTTGGTTTTCGTTTTAGTTAGCAAATTGACCATAGAAGGAAAGAAAAACTCTTAAACACACTCTCAACAAGGTCAAGTCTATTATTAAACAAGCTCTCAATTAGGTCAAGTCTATTATTTATCTCATCCTCAAAATCAAAGCACTCAAAATTGATGATTTTGGCAACATATTTTCACTCTTCTCACTGCAATTCCTTTCTTCATCGGTGCCATCCTCTCTCACCATGCAGGGACGTGCAGAATTTGGCCGCGTCCAGGATCTGGATCCATCTAATGACTCTGAGCCTCTTGGTACGAATTCCCAGCCTGCTTGGAGACTTGCCTAATTATATTATACCTTGAACAAGATTGTTTGTACTACGATGACATTATTTAAAAATTAACTAAATAACTAGAGCTTTTGTAAGCATTATCATCACGGAGGATAACAAGAGGGAGATGGTAAGAAGAGGTAATATAACTTCTATTTTTAAACTTTTTTTCAATTATCAATTTAGTTTTTAAACTTCATTTTGGTATAGTTCAGTCCTTACAATTTACTGAGTCAAAAAATTATAAGGATTGAATTGTATCAGGTTAAAAATTTATAAGAATTAAGTTGATGAGATCCATATCTAGGAGCTTTGAGAGGTATATTTCTGAGGTTGTTGATGAGAAATCAATGTTTTCACTGACTCAGGTGCCTCAATCTTTTATATGGTATAATCTTCCTAACCTTATTTCTTTTTACTGTATATGGCTCTGATCTGGCAAGTGATGATGGATGCCATGGTTATTATCTTGGGTTCATTTTATCTCCTATGTTACAATTAGTGAAGCTGGAATAAGTTGGTAGTATGATTAATGTTCTTTAATCATGAGGGGTTGTGATGGTCTGAATTATACTGTTGATCCTACTATAGTTTAATTTGGATGCATGATTGGATTAGATCTTTTCTTGGAAGCAATGGGATGGTGGTACTTTTTCTTAATGAGGATAATTAAAAGATGAGTTCCACCAGTTGTTGATTGTAATTGGATGATGGTATTTCCTTCATTGGTTAGAAGCAGGGGAGCAACTAATAAAATAGAAGCCATGTCTAGAGCTTTATATTAGTGTGTTGCTATTGATTTTTCAAAAATTTGGTTAGTGTCAGATTTTGTCACTCTGGTTGAAGCTCTTATTAGTGCCTTGTTTTGTCCCAAATGGGATTATACATTTTGAATCTTTGTCAATCACTAAGCATGTACTATTTTGAAAATGTGTTTGGTTTGAGGATGTTGCAGGGGAGTGAGGGAAAATGCTTCCCTCCCCACCTCCAATTTAGAGTTTTTTTTTTAATCTTTATTTTTAGGGAGGGGAACTAAAATTTCTGACTAGCCTGCCCTTAATTTTTTTAGTGATATTCCATAAATACCCATTTATAAAAAAAACCTTCCCTTTCAGTCATGCTTCTCCACAGATCTCGTCTCCTCAATGGCTCACCCAGCTTGTGGGGTCCATGCGTGTGTTTAGGTGAGCATCTGGCTATCGGCACTTCTTCGTTTTGGGTGAGTTTCACTCTGTCAACCTGAACCTTTGACCAGGTTGCAGACTGGTCTACGCCTGAGCTGTAAGCTGTAGTGAAAGAGATGTGCTCCTTGCACTGGTCACCAGGCCCCCATCTCCACTAGTTCCTCTCCTTGATCATCTTTTTGATGTGTCGAGGAATATGACTTAGGAATATTATGTTTACTTCTTTACTTTTTTCCCCCTTTATCTTTTATCTTTGTTCATTGTTGGGCGCTGTGATGAACTATTGTTGTTTCCTTTTAAGTATTAATGGAGTATTTTTGTGGCAAAAGAACTGTAATTAATTAATTAATTTTATCACGTGGTTCTAATATGTCATTTTGCTCGGGAGTTATTCCCAGTTTGCACGTTTTTTGAATCAGTATGGCTCTACTGTGCATTTGGGAAGGCTGGTTATGAAATTCAACAGTGGCCATTTTTTCTCTCTCGCGAGTCAATGAGTTTGCACGTTTTCTGAATTGTCTTCATCGGGCATCCTTCCGGGAACTTGGTTGCGTGATTATTGTTCACTGGTCTCTGTCATTTTCAGTTTCAACATTGACTTTGAATGCTGACTCGACCATATCATAATCTACGAGTCTAGCGCTGGTTAGCTGTTTCATCATGAACCTGATCTTCAAAGGAATCTGAATCTCCCCTTAACCTCATCCCTCGTGTTCTTTCTTTTGCTCTCCCTCTTCATCTCTATCAATCTTCCCACATCTCTTGGCGATGATGATGATGATGTTCGCTTTAGGTGTTCAACTTATACCCATCTTAATTGGCTCAGTTTTGCCTCAATTATATCAGGACAGGTCTCATTCTGATCCAAAAATAATCGAGATGAGATGGGGAAGCAGTTCAAGATAGAACAGAACACGAGATTGCCTTCGAGACATCTTGTCCCATCTTGAATACTATATAGATATATATTATTTATTATTTTAAAAACAGACGTTAAATATATTAATTATATTAATATTGTTTATACTTATATTAATTATAATTTCAATTCTTGCTATTCTTATTTAAAACTAACAAATTTTTATATTAAAAATTTTAATGATATGGAGTAAGAAGTATATGTTAATATTTTTTTTTACAATATATTAATTATATTAATATAATTTATAATATCTAT